ACACACACACACACACACACACACACACACACACACACACACACACACACACACACACTTTTACGATGCTTCATTATGTATGCTTACAAGCTCCTTCATCATTTTCACGATGCAGTCTGGTAAGAAGCCGTACACGTGCACGCGCACGTACACACGCAAGCACGCACGCAAGCACGCACGCACGCACACATGCACGCACGCACGCACGCACACATGCAAGCACGCACGTAAGCATAGAAGCCACACGCGCGCACACACACACACACACATACACACACACACACACACACACACACACACACACACACACACACACACACACACACACACACACAAGAACGGATGGATGCGCGCACTATTATACACACGCACGTACACACAACAAGACAATGCCCACATACGCGCAAATTAATATATGCCATCATCGAATGGCTAGGCGATGTTTTGCAGATCCGGAAATTGTATAGTCAAGTAATCAATGAAGTCAAAGTAGACAAGTTAGTTAGTAGTCGCAGCTAGTATCATTCCCGTGATAGCGCGAGTATGAATACGCCGTATTCATGCTTGTGAATCCGCACCGATTATGATTGTGAATCCGATCCTTGATCATTTCAATCCAGGATCCAGGAATCCAGGATCCAGGAATTTTCATTCCGGATCAAGATTGTGAATCCGAACCTTCTTAATACGCTCTTGATGAGATCAATAGCTAATAATATCTATTTTTATTAGCCCGTGATGAAATCTGTCAATATGGATGTCTCTGGCAGCTGATTTGCTGCATGCGATCGGAGTTGCCGGATATGCGTTTCCGCTAGAGAGTCCTGAGGGGCCGTTAGTGATGGGTTAAAGAGAGGTTTTAGGATATCCTTATATATAGAGTGTTTCACGAAAGCCTCGCTAAGTTTCCACGTTTCACAACCGTCTCACTAACTCAACGACGTTGCTATTAAGGAGGAATCTTAGAACAAGAAGGACAAGCAGGTATCTTAGTACTTAGGCAAGCAACGCGAGATTTTCCGCGTGTTTTCATTGTTTTGGCAAGCCGTAGTGTAAAGCGAAACCCAGCCGAGAAGGTAACTTCTCTGTGTCTACGAGAATACTGTGCGAAACCTGTGAAGGCATGACGCGCAGGGGTTAAGTGTGGCTAAGAAGCTTCTTATTGTGGTAGCAGATTTTGAAGAGGCGAAATGCTTCCTTGCACCTTACATGTGCTTCTGCTGTTCGTGTATGTAATTACTGTATCATATGGCGCCAACACTGTATCAAAGTAAACGTAAATCTAAACCTTCAGAATTTATGTTACATTTTTGTTCAGTCAATACGTCATTTGTGGTAGTTCTAGTTGCAGGAAATATGACAACCTTGCTTTAGTTTAATTATTTCTCAAGTACTTGGCATTTAAAAATAATTTTAACCTATTATTTTTAGTGTGCACGCTGTTGTACTTACATTTATTAAAACTAAATGACGCGAGAGATTAGCGTAGCAACTCACAGTGAGCTGGGTCGCCATTAGACTTGTAACATGTCTCTATATATAGACTATCTAGTAGCAAGGTGTAGAGATAGGGTGCCAATCTATGCCGCCAGCAACATCGTTACAGCTGAATTTTAAGGACCGTCCAACAACGCGCCGGCATAAGTTTCGTGAAACACTTTAACGAGGGACGTTTAGGACAGCGTTAGGCTCTCGTACATCTACGTTCCGCTACACTACGTGCGGGGGATATAAACCATTACTGCGTAGCGTTTGCCTACATTTTTCCAAGAATCATTACTACAGTCAAACCCCGTTAGTAGAAAACTAACGGGCCAAAGAAAAATAATTGTATTAAGCGGGGTTCGTATTAACCACTTCAACACATATTATCCCCGAATTAACAAAGAAAAAGTTATGGATTACAAGGTGTGTACAAGGTATTTTATATAGGTTTATATGTATAATTAAGAACTTTAGTAGCGTTCAATTGTTCACAAATAGATACAATTAATGCAAAGCCTAAACTCCTCATTCAATTACTACTATTCATTACTACAGTCGCACCCCGTTAGTACGAAACTGACGGGCGAAAGAAAAATAATCGTATTAAGCGGGTTCCGTATATTATATTAGCCTTAATTTGAAGAGAAAAACAATGGATTAGAAGGTGTGTACAAACTGTTTTATATAGAAATGAAAATACCGGGACAGAAAATTTTATGTTAGTAACAGGTTCCTTGTATTATTGTCTTCGTATCAAGTCAATATTTTACTAAAAGATTACTATGAATCGGGCCGGGATTTAGAGAAATCATCGTAGTCTCATCCGCGTAACGAGCGAATATGGCCGCCGGAGGTGGCCATTTCGCGAATACAAATAATTTTAGTGAGCACATACGCACATGTAGTATACTCTGGGAAATACGCGTCAGTGTCAGGGTCATGCTAGGTATAAATGTAAATAACAATAGATTTGATGTAATAAATAGCAGAATAGAAGGAAATCATTCCTCCAGCATCATATTATCCTAGATTTGTTTTCTTTAAATAGCTGTAAGTATGCACTCGTCATTATTCGCGTATGCCATCTATTGTTACTCTCCCCAACCCCACGCACCTTTACATGCTTATGGGATGATGATGTAATTCCTACGCTTACGAAGAGGGAGGGCTGAGTTTCAAGTACTTTATAATATGAGAGCACACCTTGTATAAACACGCAGTGCATACATTGAGTTGACACGGTTTACAACCGCTGCCCTATATATAGTAACGGGAAATGACTGCGTGTTTACGACATCAAGGAGTATCATTAAGTAAGTTCCATCTATAGCGGCTGTAACAGAGTATACAGTATATAGTATCTATTATGTATCAACAATTTCGATTTTCACTATGTATCGTGCTATATCATATATACGCGCGTACGATTCCCGTTTTTGAAGAAGTAAATTTAACTGAAGCGTAGCTTCGCCGAAGGCAGCATATATATATACTGTTTGCTCGCGCATACTGTAAGTTGAGCGTGTCAAGTGTTTAGATTTCACTATAGCTGTGGGCCGGGGCACTCCCTCCCCTCTACAATGGTTCGTGGTTGTAGCCTTGGCTTGCCACAGTTTTGGCGGATGATCATTTACATGGCGACGTTCACCTTGGCGTTTTAAAGCGCAGATTATATTTTGTAAGAACAGATATGTGATCGAGGGCAATGTGTATGCTTACTACCTATATTATGCGCTACGAATTACATCGAGTTACTGTATATCGAGGCAGTGTCACGCGCGGAGACAATGAGATCGGCATAACAGGTGGCTGGTAAGTTTCGTTGCGTGCGCGTTGTTTAAACGTATGCGCATATATATGCGTATACATTATACGTATGCGCAATACACGTCACGATTGTAACAAAACAACGCGTCAACGTCTTAAAATAACTGATGTTCACAGTAAATACATCCTGCGTAGAAACTGTGCTGTTTGTATTAAACCACGGTAACCACGGTAACCCTAACCCAGTCGGGCATGAAGATATTTAGGTTATGCGAATGATTTAGATAACTTATGATAACGAAAACTAAGTTTCTCTATCGTTAGGACACTATGGAATTATACTGGAACCCACCGTGCGCACTTTACACTTACGCGCGCGCGCACGCACGCACGCACGCACACACAACACACACACCAGGCACATGCAACAGCACACACACATCACACACCACACCACCACCACACCACACACACACACACATGCACACCAGAACCCACACAACAACCACACACACACACATCCCACAAACACACACACACACACACACACAACACACAACGACACAACACCTACACACACACACACACACACACAACACCACGACATCCACACACACCACATAACACACACCACACACACACACACACACACACACACACACACACACACACACACACACAAGAACGGGGGATGGATCGCGACACTTATTATCACACAGCGCACGTCACACACAACAAGACATACTTCCGCCCACTGCTCTACTTCCTGACGCTCCCCGGCAAATTAATATATGCCATCATCGAATCGCTAGGCGATGTTTTGGCAGATACCGGAATATTGTATAGTAAGTAATCAATGTGATCAAAGTAGACAAAGTTAGTTAGTAGTCGCAGCTAGTATCAATTCCCGCTGATAGCGCGACGTATGAAATACGCCGTATTCATGTTGTGAATCGCACCAGATTATGATGTGAATCCGATCCTTGATCATTTTCACATCCAGGATCCAGAGAATCCAGGATCCAGGAATTTTCATTCCGCGATCAAAGATTTGGAACTCGCGAACGGCCTTCTTATGCTCTTGATGAGATCAATAGCCTATATAATATCTATTTTATTAGCCCCCGTGATGAAAATCTGCTCAATCATGGATGTTCTCTGGCAGCTGATTTGCTGCATTGCGGATCGGAGCTTCGCCGGATATGCGTTTCTTCCGCTAGAGAGCTCCTGCAGGGCCCGTTAGTGATGGGTTAAAGAAAGGTTTTAGGATACTCCTTTATATATAGAGTGGGGGGGGGTTTCACGAAAGCCTCGCCTAAGTTTCCACGTTTCACAACGCGTCTCACTAACTCAACGGACCGTTGCTATTAAGTAGGAATCTTAGAACAAGAAGTACAAGCAGGTATCTTAGTACTTAGGCAAGCAATGCGCGAGATTTTCGCGCGTGTTTTCATTGTTTTTTGGCAAGCCGTAGTGTGAAAGCGAAAACCAGCCGCAGAAGGTAACTTCTCTGTGTGTACGAGAAACCGTGCGAGAACCTGTGAAGGCATGACGCGCAGGGGTTAAGTGGCTGTAAGAAGCTTCTTATATTGTGGTAGCAGATTTTGAAGAGGTGAAATGGCTTCCTTGCACCTTACCATGTGCTTCTGCTGTTCGTGCTATGTAATTACTCGTATCAATATGGCGCCAACACTGTTCAATAAGTAAACGTAAATCTATAACCTTCAGATTATGTTTACATTTTTGTTCACGTCAATAACGTCATTTGTGGTAGTTCGTAGGTGCGCGAAATATGTTCAAACCTTTGCTTTTAGTTTTAATTATTTTCTCATGGTACTTCGGCATTTACAAATAACTTTTAACGCTATTATGTTTAGTGTGGCACCGCTGTTGTTACTTACCCATTTATATAAATTCAATGGACCGAGAGATTGCGTAGCAAACTCACAGTGAAGCTGGGCTCGCCATTAGTATTCTTTGAACATTGTACTCATAATATAGACTATTCTAGCTAAGCAAGGTGTAGAGATAGGGTGCAATCTATGCGCGCCCCAGCACACATCGTTACGAGCTGAAATTTTAAGGACGTCCAGCACGCGCGGCATAAGTTTCGTGAAACACACTTTAACGAGGGACGATTTAGGACAGCGTTAGGCTCTCGTATACACGAATTCTAAGAATATCCTATAACCCCATTCAGCATACACGGATTTTTTCTTACGAGTGCTTTTACGGATCGCACAATTCGGTAAAACAAGTAGCACGGACGATCCTTAGATCTTGCCCACTTTTCATCGAGCGATTTACGTGTTATTATCGCGAGCTATGAATTACGGTTTATTACGGATTCATTACGAGTTATTACGATGTATTTACGGCAAAATTCCACGTTTGTTAAGAGTTGTCACGGATACTACGAGCAACTTACGGAGATTTTGACGAGCTTTTACGTGATTGCTTACGGATATATTACCGATTCATCGAAGCTTTTGCGTGTTAGTTGCGACCTGTTTAGCGGTCTTGTTACGAATAGGACGAGTTAGTTTACGGTATTTACGAGTCGCTTAACGATTTGTTTGGCAAAAGTATTTAAAAATTCTGCAAATCTGAGCTAACCTCCATTAGGAGTGTTCCCACATTTGATATGCATTAATGATTAATGACTTGATATCCAAACCCTAACCCTAACCTAAGCCCGTAAGCCTAAATGACCATTTTAAACTCACAAACTAATATATCGAACCAGACCCATTTACTATATATATTAATCAGCGTAGTAATAATACTATATATATATACCTATTAAATTTTCTAACTCCTTTGATTATAATATATGTGAGGGCACTAAATATATATAAAATTAAATATATATATATGTTATTATGATCATTAATGACATTAAGTTGTGACAACACTCCTAATGGAGTATCACCCAAAATCTCATTAATCATACTGACATCCAGAGAGACAACATGGCATATGAGAGAACAACTCTTGATAACAACTGAAAATGACGTGTTCGATTTTGCAGCCTTTCTCAAATCGTAAATAATATGTAAAGTATACGTATATATTCGTAAAGTGCTCGTAATAACTCGTAACAATCCGTAAAGCCATCGTAACACGACCCGAATGAATTCGTAAACAACACGTAAGCACTCGTAATAATCCGTAAATAATCCGTAAACAAATCGTAAACTAACCATAGCAAATCGTAACAAAAATTGTTACGAGTCATTTACGGATTCTTGCGAGCAGTTTACGGATGGTTACGTGTTGTTGCGAGCGGTTTACGATACTTACGAATTGTTACGAGTTATTTACGGAAAAAATCAATCCGTGGACACTCGTGAGAAGGTTTTTGACATGTCAAAAAATTTGCATTTCCTTTCACGGATCCTTACGAGTGGCTGCGAGTTGTGACGAGTTAATACGAATACCAGTGAGTTATTTACGGATGCTTGCGATTGACTACGAGTTGGCGATCCGTAACGACTCGTAAGAAAAATCCGTGTATGTGAAGGGGGTATTATAAGGTAGTGTTTTAATTTTACAATAGCTTCGTGAACTGAATGGTAAAATACGGATGAGTCAGACAATCTCGCTGCCTGTCTGACCTCGTCTGCTCCCGATATTTACCATCTCCGGTTCCTTCTCGAACCAGTTCTCAGCTGAGGCCCGTCAGTGGCAGTTTGACTTCTTCGCGTTGCCTACATAATACAAAAACACGGTTACCCGAGCTTATCCCATCTGTTATAGCGAGCTACGTCATATGGTTAGAAGGTACAGCATATCCCTGACCGATGACCTCAAGAATATCACGGCTATAAAATTGCTCGTCGTTTATTTGTGCGTAGAATGCAAGGTATCTTGACGGAGCAAAGTCGATGTTCGTGTCGATCCGTCTTCAACGCAGACGCGTCTATATTCATTCATACATAAACAACTATATGCGTACTCGTCCTATCGTACAGCACATACACATAATTCGCTATAGTTCTATGTGTTGTTTTTCATGTGCGGACTGCAGATACTACGTGGGCGGTTTGCACTATGAGTAGTCCTCAATCTACGTCAACGAAACCGAGCTATTTGTTAGCTTTGTGCATTGGATATGCATGGCTTTTGTCGGGACTAGCTGTCTCCGAGACAGGTAAATATACTCTGCTCTCTCTCTCTCTCTCTCTCTCTCTCTCTCTCTCTCTCTCTCTCTCTCTCTCTCTCGCTCTCTATCTCTCCCATATCGCTCTCTATAGGCTACATGCTATGAGCTGTAGGTGTTCCTGTCGCCAGGGATTTAACAGAGGTACCACCACAGTCCACCACAGTCCATAGGACTGAGGTAGGCATTTATTATATATAGTTCTTCGCTTGCTCTCTCGCTCTTTCTTTCTGGCTCTCACTCTCGTTCACTCTCTCGCTCACTCACAGAGGGCATGCGTGCGCGTCTGCATCTGCGCGCGTGTGTGCATGTGCGCCTGCGTCCGTTTGTGCGGTACAGATATACATAACTGTAAACTAACGTGATGCGTGATGATATCAAGTGACGAAAAGTTAAGTTATAACATAGTTCTATTCACAGAACTTATTTGTTGAAATAATAATCATGTATTCGTGGAAAAATTATTAGGCGACTTAACAGCCATTGATTCTACTCTATTTTACAGACGAAACCGGATTTATTTGTCCAACGGAGTGTGATTGCTGGTATGTAGGTGACGGACCACCCGGACGAAGGTTGATTTGTTCATTTCTCACGATCGGGCCGAACACTAACTTCACGGCTATACCCGCTGCGCATACACTCGTGCTGGAGATATACTGCAGCTCACCGTTCCTATTTAGCGAGGTTGACGAGGATGCGTTGCGCCACCTGGTGGAACTCGACGAGTTGCATATTATCGGCTGTAAACTGAAAGAAATTCCGGCCGGCTTTCTAGATGGACTCTTACAACTACGGTACTAGCATTTTATTACGAAACACTGAAACGAATCCATCTTTTCAAATCTTTAAGTTTACTCTTTTAAAATCTTCCATCTTAGCGCATATTCTCGGCTGTTGATCCTCTCAAAACGCATGATTTAATCTTTTCAGGCTTTTGAGAATCATTTCCACGCACTTGGAAACCAAGGTCGCGCCGGGAGCCTTTCGCGGCGTGCCGAACTTACTCTCACTGAACCTGACAGCGAGCGGACTGTCATCGCTGCCCCGCGGCGAGCTCTGTGCCCTACCACGGCTCCTGCAACTGCTACTCGGCGGAAACAACCTCGACTCGTGGGAGGGGACCGGCGCGCTGGAGAACGGCACCGTGTGTCTACCGCAGCTCGCGTATCTGAACCTCGAGCGCAACCTGCTGGCGTCTCTCCCCGACAGCGTGCTGGGCTCGTCGTTATTACATTTGTTCATGCGAGGCAACCGCATACGCGACGTGCGCGATGCAGCCTTAGACGGACTCGCCAGCCTGCAGCTGCTAGACCTCGGCGAGAATGAGATCCGGACGATATCCGACGGCGCGTTTTCGGACGCGGCACAACTTCGCGTGCTTCTCCTAGATCGTAACCAACTAGCGACGTTGCCGGCGGGTTTCTATGAGCTGCCGATGGTGGCTGGGGTGAATGTGAGCGGCAATTCACTCGATGATGAATTCCTGGCGCGTATGCAAGCGAACGGGATTGAGAATCTCGATGCGAGCTACAACGAGCTGACGATGGTCACTCGTGCGTCTTTTAACGGTAGCTCGTCGTTACAATTCCTCTCTCTGCAAGGAAATCGAATAGAAAATATCGAAGACTTTGCATTCACCGAGCAGACAAACCTACAAGTCTTATTCCTCAGTTCCAACCTTTTGGGAAACTTAACAGTCGATGTGTTTCGCGGGCTAGGTAAGATACGTCACCTATTTCTGGATAATAATACAATCGGCGACATTCAACCGAACGCGTTCGCATCGATGAAAGAAATCATCAATGTAAATGTTTCGAGAAATGACCTGCGACATCTTGGATTCGCCAGTGATATGGTATCTCTCATCCAACTTGACGTTAGTCACAACCAGATTACGGAAGTATCGCAGACTGACTTGTTCCAACTGACGAACATGACGTATCTATTAATGTCCTACTGCCAGATGAAAGAAGTCGAACCCGGGGCGTTCGACAAGATGGATTTACTGGAAAAATTGGATCTTTCCTACAACAGATTAACGAACATTCGGTCGTTGTTCCGCTACGCGACTTCTCTCCAAACGCTGATGCTGCAGAACAACCGCATTAACACGACTCTAGGGCCATCTACCTTCCCAGGGTCGATTCAGACGATAGATCTAGAGAGCAATGAGATCAGCGACATATCTCCATACACGTTTTCCCGCAAGCCTAGCCTTAAGACGGTTATTGTCTAATAAAGTTATTCTTTTTCAATTTTACGACTTTAGCTTATTACAGTTGGGATACCGTTATAAAATTATCTTGTCATATATTGTTTTAGGAGTTCGTTACTCGGCTAGAAAATGGTGGCCAAATTTATTATTTGAATTAACACAAGGGTTTATCATGCGCTAAAACGGATTTTTACCGATACATGAAGATTAGAACAAAATGCAGAATTTTCAACAATTCTCTTGGTCTGTAGGTGAACTTTCGGCAAAACCGACTCACGACGTTGCGATCAGAGGCGATCAAGGTTAGCGTCCCATCAGCCGACGCACAACGGCCTGCGTTCAGCATCGGAATCAACGACTATTTCTGTAGTTGCGACATGGCCTACCTTCTCACCGTCAACGCCAAAGGCTCAGTTGGGCACGCAAGCATACGGGACCTCAACCGGGTGTACTGTCGCACTTACTACAACCCGACGCCGACCAACTGGCTCGTCGATGTCGACAAGAAGGACTTTCTCTGTCCCTACGAAGAGCAGTGCGTGTTGTGTTCGAAGTGCGACTGCGTCGGCCGTCCTCTGTGCGACTGCTATCACGTTTGTCCTACTGGCTGCGAGTGCTGGAGAGACCAGAGCTGGTCGATGACGAATCTCGTCACGTGCTCAAGCTCCGGACAGTCGGAGATTCCCGTGAACGTGTCGGTCATGGTGACGGAGCTGCGACTGGACGGCAACAACGTGACGACCATTCACGCGGACGACCTCGTCAGACGCCATCAGCTGAACGCGTTGTGGCTCAACAACAGTGGCGTTCGGGTGAGTGCATCTCATCTCAAGCCAGACCATTGGTGTTCGAGACGCCTTTGTTTGTTTGTTTGCGTGTTTGCTTGTATGTGTGTGTGCGTGCGTGTGTATGTTTGTGTGTGATTGTGTGTGTGTGTGTGGTGTGTCTGCTGTTTGTCTGTGTTTACGGGTGTGTGTGTGTGTGCGACTAACCGCCTGTGTTGTGTGTTGTGTGGTGTGTTGGTGTGTGCTGTGTGTGTGTGGCTGCTGTGTGTGTGTGTGTTGTGTGTGTGTGGTATTGTGTTGTGTGTGTCTGTGTGTGCGTGTCAGAAACCTTGCTGCGATTCTTTCATGTATAATATTCTGCAATGTTTTCTACAACAATCGTGAGTTGTCTGTGCGTAGCGTCATATTATCTACATATACTACATCTCTGCTCTTCTCCTCTCTCTCTCTCTCTCTCTATATATATATATATATATATATATATATATATTATATATATATATTATATATATTATATATATATATAATATATATTCTTATTTATTATATATATAATATAGAGACGAGAGAGATGAGAGAGAGAAGATGGTATATATAGTATATATATATATAGTTAATCATATAATTTATAGGCAATCGATTCCAGGATCGTTCCGTGACCTCAACAACATTATCGCTCTGTATACTGGACGAAATCGAAATAGAAGAAATAGGGCGATGACCAGTTCAACGGACTCGCAGACATTAAGGGAATACATCTAGAAACAAGATGTAGTCAACATTAGCACTACGTAATGCATTTAGGCTATCTTTGCCGGAAAACCCCGTCGCCCTCGTCCTCTCCTCCTCCTACTCCTGCTTCCTTTGTCCTCCTCTTTCCTCCTCTTTCCTCCTCTTCTCTCCTTCCTTTCTTACCTACCTCTTTCCTCCTTTCCTCTTCCCTCCTCTTCCCTCCTCTTTCCTCTTCCTCCATTTCCTCCTCCTCTCCTCTCACCTCTTCTCTTCTCTCTCCTCCTCTCCTCCCTTCTCCTGCCTCTTTCTGCCTCTCCTCCTCCTCCTCCTCCTCCTCCTCCTCCTCCTCCTCCTCTTCCTCCACAAATACACACACGAACGTGAACACACAAGGACATGTACACGCATGCACACGGACGCGCATACGGCTGGATCACGCGCCAAGATGGCACGCACTAAGTTTTAAACAGAGACGAGTACTCGGATACCAGCAGAAGCGTCGCTGAGAGTGCTTGATTCCTGCCCGCTAAGCGGCGAACTCTGCGCGACAGTTTCGGCTTGCAGGGGCCGCACGCGACCGCGGCGAACGTCCTTACGAAAGTAATCACGCGCTGGCAGCCTTTTTGATCCGTGCGCCAAAATCAAAGGCGGCGCACGGTATCCAATTGCTTGCCAAGCGATACAGTCTCGAATTTTAGACAGGTCTATTCACTAGCAAACATATGCACACACCATCGCGCAGGCGCCTAATAGCGATGTTTCACGTGACGGTCACTAGATACACGGGTCACGTGGCATGTATTTGTTCTTGTGTTGTGAGTTCGGCAGAAAGCAAAGCGTGCTGCTTACAATTACAGATGAATGCACCACATGTTCTGATAGAAGCACTGTTTATGGTAGTCCGTTACGTGCGTGCTGCGTGCGTCTGCGTGCGTGCGTGCGTTGCGGACGTACACTTGCGTGCATGCCGTAGCGTCGTGCGAACTTACACCTGGGCGTCTAGCGCCGGCAGTGCAGAGGGTGGCGAGCTGTCCTGACTAGCCGAGCTGCCGCCGCGCGTGGTGTATCTTGCATCAGGAATGGGGGCAGCAAGCGGCGTGAGAGCTCACAAACCCACGCTGAGGCCGTGATCATCGTCCTGAGCTGCTGTATCCTTGCGTAGCCTTTGACCGAGCATCCGCTACACGCCTACATGACGTCAGCTAGCCAGCGGACAAGCCCGCCAGCAGCTGAGAGCAGTGGTGAGCGGTGCGAGCTTCCCCGACTGCAGCCAAGCTGGCTCTGTGCTTGCTTTGGGCTGGACGCCGCAGCATTTATATTCAGCCGTGGGATCACCACGTGGTTAACAGTCATGTGACCCACGATTGTGACACTGCAGGTGTCGGGTCCACATTAAATATAGGTCAAGTGGTGCACAAGCCGCTTTTCCTTTCAATCCTCTGCGATACCCACGTGGCTACGAAAACCGTACGTCTTCATAGGTTGAAGTAATGCTGCGCATGCTAGCTATGTGTATGTTGATACAGCGGGTCGAATTCGCTACACATGAAAATCGGCGTACATTGTGCGTGCATCGTGCTTTGTCGTGTGAACTTACACTTTCGGTGCGTGCATGCGTGCCAGAATCAATTCCTTCATGTGCGGTCCCGTCGCGTGTGTGCACGTACACGTGCTCGTTGGCTGCCGCGCGGTCGTGAAGGTACATGTTTGTGCGTGCGTGCGTGCGTGCGTGTGTGCAGGTATCACGTGTTTGCATGTGTGCGTGGTAACGATGTCGTGTGTGTTAGGTACATTACACACCGTGCGTGCTTTGCGTGCCATGCATGTGACGTATGTACGTGCGTAGCGTGCGTGGTGCGTAGCCGCTGCCACGTGTCGTGCGCACGGCTATACGTGCGTGTCATGCGTGCAGTGCGATGCAGTAGTGTGTGTCGGGTACAGTGCTGTGCTGGTGCGTGCGTACGTACCACGTGCGTGCGTGCGCTTGTATCGAACAATATCACGCATCTCGGCTTGCTACAAGCGTAATATGGACTAACAGAAAAATACAGAAACAATACAAATAAAAGACGGCATTCGATCCAGACGACATTTCGCTAGTCAGCTAAACTCTGCAGTCGACATTTCTCTGCCTTATGCGTTCACCGCTATCGAGGCATTGGGTTTTTATGTTATTGGATGTGCCTTGAAATAACAATGGGGGCGTCATTGAGGAGCTTGAAGGCACGTGATCTGTATCAACCATGGGATTTGCACGATGGCATTAAGTTCGGTCACGATAGTAATAAACATGTGAGTGGCATATTGCGGTGGTGTTACCGTTAGTCATTGACGTAATTAGGGTTATTTCAGTTTTTATTATTTTAGTTTGCGTGCGCTTTCATGATGCGCAACATTTCAACGTATGTTACGATGACATGCTTACCAGCAAACGCTGTAGTCAGTTCAAGTCACTGTTGCCACGAATTCAAGACTAAGCGAGTATTTCCCAGTGATTTCCCTAATGTAATTCCTGTTTTGTACTGTTAATGGCCACTAGCGGGGAGGCTGGCCGCTACAATTTAAATGACACCATGCCGTGAAAGGGACGGGGCTCGTCCGGGGGCACCACTAGGTCTAGTGCGTTAGTATAGACGCGGGAATCTGCGAAAATTTGCAAGTGAATACGCATAAAGAAATAAACTATTCAGATTTCTCGAAATAGCTATTCGTTCTAGAAACGAGGAACGCTTCGTGTCTTCGGCGAGATTCTCGTCGTGTGACCCCATATTATTTTACGTCTGCAGGTGGATCGACGTCACGCCGATGTTTTCAATGTTGGCGTTGCATGGTAACGCGTTCTCGAAAGCTCCTGAAGCCATATATGGAATTAGATCATCAGAATACACACTTCGGCAGGTATGAGACAAGTGTGCTTACACAGCACGCGCCGCGCACCCCCCCCCCCACACACCACCTACACATCACAACAAACATCACCACACACAACACACACATAACAACACACACCACACACTACTACACACACAGCAACAACAACAACAACAATGTATTGTTGCCGATAAGCAGCCGATGTCTTCATTTGCGTCCACAGAACCTTGGATATGTGACTGCACGGTATGAATTTCTCGTGCTTCTTGACTGCGCTTAAAATGCAATCTGTAACGATTAACCGATCCCAGTGACTCGGGCCGCATATATGTGCTACGGATCCACGCCGGCGAGTGCAACAAGCTTTTCTCCGAGGACTTACGATTACTGGGCGACCTTGTCATCGATAAGATCCGGATAACAGCTACACACATAATGTTAACTGTCCGTCTCTTGATCCGCTTGTTGTTATTGTGGTGGGTCGGGTTGAACGTAATCTTCACGGTCACGTTGCGGTGTAGATGGATGTTGCGTGTGGCTTTCGTTCTTCATGTAAAGTGTGATAGTAAGCATAGAGATTAGATACATACGATAGACGTACATTACATAGATAGAAAGGGTAGGACGAGAGAATGAATGTACGTAGAGGATACGAGGAGAGATGGAGAGAGATGCTGCTCATACGTAGATTATTTGAGGCGCATATACATATATTATACAGTATATTATATATATATATATATATATATATATATATATATATATAACGATGGAAAGTCGTATAGAAAATGTAGTGCAAATTGTAGAAAAAAAAACTGTTGAAATATGTGTGTGAATATGAACGCTGCAATATACACACATCATGTCATCCGCCAACGCCATTACTCTTACCTCATTCTCTCTTTACAGATATTGGATTTTGAGATGGTTATGTACTGTACGGCACCACTTATCAGGGTTTCTCCTGGTTTTATCGCAGGCTTTGTCATGCTAGGTAGGAAAATACTGCACGTCTTGAATCATGATTTATCACTTTTATATCGAAACCTCAATTATAGATTTTGTAACGTTATTAGTTGAGTGTGGTAACACTTAATCGTCATAGTTTGTAGTAAGTGAACGTATAAACGTAAACAAACGGTGTAAATTATAGTTACTTGTCTTTATACCGGCGTGTCTTTTCTTATGCATATGTCTCCACAGGTGTGTTGTTCTTGACTACCGTGCTCTGCATCGCTCTTACACATCATTATCAGCACGAAATCAAGTTGTGGCTTTTTGTCAAGTATGGAGTGAGAGTGTTCAAACGGAAAGATCCCGAATCAGATAAGGTAACTGAACGACAAACAGGGACGCGCGCACGCACGCACGGACACATACACGCAGACCACTCGATATTAGACAAAGAGAATACTGTAGCATTACGAAACCATAGTTCCATAGAGACGTAACATGCAAGTAAGAACACGTAAGAATGCAACATAGAGACGTAGATTGCTAGAGAAATAATGGCGGCATTAAAATAACAAAGAAGGATCACGCGAGTGAGAACAACATTGAGTCCGGCATGTTATTGTGCACGGCATAAATCTCCCATTTGCATTTACTAATAGAGGTGACAATCGTAAAAAGTCGTTAGCAGTCATAAAAAAGTAATATATCAGGAAAGCGGGCGACCAGCAAGGACGAGCACCTTGGAGGGGTGCACCATTAACATTCCGAAGCCGAAGGTCGCTAGTAAATTAAGGTAGAGCGCCTCCGATTGGACGAGAGCGAAGGGGAACTCATGCACGGGTCAGAGAGAGAGAAGGGGGGGACTCCCTTATACAGGGAGCTGACGAAAGAGACCCGGGGCTGGAGAAGTCTGGTTTTCGTGGGTGTCGGGCAGTCTTGGTTTTGGTCGACTCTGCAGGTTGCGCTCGCGTATGTCGTAACTTATATACGGAATAAACTTATATCTACATTGTACGCGACGCCTTCGACCATCATTGCTACACGACATCTACACTACATTTGGCAAAATGGAACTCGACTATTCGGACGATGTCACGCTGCTAGACCCATTGATCGTGGCGCGACAATGGCGAGTAGAGGAATACACCGAGTTGCTGGGTCGATGCGTAGGCAGTATCAAACGCTTGACCCTGCAACAATATATGCGTGTGACATATCAGGCGCTGAGGTCCAACCGAATCTGCGGACTGCCGATGGTGGTAGAGCCATTCTGGGATGAGCCCCCACCACTGACGCCCGACTTCCTTACGGAATTTCTAGTGTGAACGCCCGATCAGCTGCGCCACAGAACCTATATAAATCTCTATCTCTATGATAAAAATGCGCAAGCTCGTTGTTTGCTATCATATTCGCTCGCCATTGCTTCAGGCAAAGAAATACGATGCTTTCATCTCGTACCACAACTCGGATGAGGATATCATATTACGTGAGTTCGTGCCGCAGCTGGAACATGGTGAAACACCGTACAAGCTCTGCGTCCATAACAGGTGAGGCGCATGTTTCGGTTCGTGTATACGTAATCATGCACACATGCGCTCAGGCGTCTATGCGTTAGTGTAACCTGTACCTACGTGCGTGTTTGCGGACATTTCCACACTTAGCCGCGGCCTGCTTGCCACAGGTAGCATGCTAGCATGATCCGGAAAGTCTGGCCTACTGCCCACGGCACTAGAAATGAAGATACGCTAGTAATGTTAGCGCTAGTCGACAAGACTATTTTATTGCGCTGATCTTGCACTAACTCTCGTCTGCTGACGCATGCAGAGATTTCTTAGCCGGAGAATTCATAGCCGAGAATATCGTCTACGCCGTCGAGAATAGCAGACGCACGATTGTCTTGCTCACTGCCAGCTTCATCGACAGCGAGTGGTGCCGGTATGAGTTCCAGGCAGCGCACAATCAGGCGATCAGCGAGAAGGTATATATTTCTATAGCAGCAGCCAGGGGGCGCCACCCGTCCATAGAGGCGATGTTTCCATGTTTGTATGTAACGCTTCGTGGCCATGTTAAATTTATGGGATGCGGACCTAAAAGATGGGGTGTCGCTATATTACACGGGCGTGGAGGGACAATTCAGTTCGCGACTTCAAAGTCCAAATCTTCCACAGAAAGATTCCACATACTTCCGTGCTAGGCATGGCCTTATATTCCTAACCCTAACCCTGATCCTAACCCAAATCCTAACACAGCTAGTGCTGCCACGTTGCGGTACTGCCCCTCCACGCCCGGGGATTAGCATTGACCTAAAAGGGTGGCATATGTTTCCATAAACCAAAGTATGGTCGTGACGTCAGTGTACGTCAGTGAGACGTCAGTGGCTTTCTACCACCATAACCCAATCACGCACGCACGTCCATGTAGCCTATGCATGGCACATCCATAATATTTTATTAAAATTACGCTGAATAGCCGAGATCGTACGCCGTCCGGCGTTACGTGTGAAGGTCGTTGGTTCGATCTGTATCCGATCTTTATCCATTTAACTATTTTTTCCCAATTAACGCAAATATTTACATGATTTATATACAATTTTTTATTACATTTTTTTAATTAAATTAAATTTATTAGTGTTAATTAAATTTCATTAGGGTTAGGGTTAGGGGTTAGGGTTAGGGAGTAGGGCGTAGCACACAACCACCAGCACCATCAGCAGGCTGTATGCATTCAAATTCGGAGATAGCCGAGTTCGTGCGTGACGTCAGTGTACGTCACGACCATACTTTGGTTCATGAAAACATGTGCCGACCGAAATAAAATGTGAAAAGTGTAAACACGCATGCGCGCACGCACGCGCACACTCACAGACGCGCGCGCTCACAATATTTGAACAGCATGCATCTTCAAGTTGGAGCAGATTGGATTTACCAAATAACATTTGATCTGCAATATCTTTGTATGAACTCTCACACAGGTGATGTAAATGATTATCTTTCTAGGTTAACAGAATCATATTGGTTGTCTTTGAGGACATTCCCAAGGGCAAACTAGATAAAAACCTTGAAGCATATATCAAAACCAACACCTACATCAGGTACGTTGTGATAGCGAAGGAGTAATCTACAGTTCAATCATCGTTGCACTTGTTAGGTCATTCTATGGTTATGATTCAAATATCGAAGTAGTGCATGAATTACGACATATAATTCTGCATTATATATATATATATATATATATATATATATATATATATATATTTATAGGTCATCGATCCAGGATCGTTCCGTGACCTCAACAACCTTATCGCTCTGTATCTGGACGGAAACGAATTAGAAGAAATAGGCGATGACCAGTTCAACGGACTCGCAGACATTAAGGAATTACATCTAGAAAACAATATGCTAGTCAACATTAGCACTACGTAAGCATTTAGGCTATCTTTGCCGAACCCCGTCTCCCTCCTCCTCCTCCTCCTCTGTGGGCTGTATGTTGGTTGTTGTTGTTGGTGTGTGTGTGTGTGTGTGGTGTGTGTGCGTGTGTGTGTGTGTGTGTGTGTGGTTGTGTGTGTGTGTGTTGTGTGTGTGTGGTGACGCGTGTGTGTGATGTGAGGAGTGTGAGTCCCGTGTGTGTGTGGCCGCGGAGGGGCGAGGGGGACATTTCTCTAATTCAAATCACCTAAACTTGAGTTATTAAATTATCTGATATATTATATATAATATATATATATATATATATAGAATAATATATATAATGCAGAATATATCATGTCGTAATTCATGCACTACTCGAATTTGAATCATAACGCATAGAATGACCTAACAAGTGGCAACGATATTGAACTGTAGATATCCCTTCGCTATCACACAACGGTACCTGAGGTAAGGTGTTGGTTTTGATATAATGCTTCAAGGTTTATCTCAGTTGCCCCTTGGGAATGGTCCTCAAAAGACAACCAATCATGATGACTGCTTAACCTAGGAAAGCATAACATTTTACATCACCTGTGGTGATTTTGGTCATACAAAGATAATTGGCAGATCAAAATGTATTTGTCAAATTCCAATCTGCCCTCCAACTTGAAAGATGCATGCTGCTTCAAAATATGTAGCGGCGCGCGCTCTGTGAGGTGGCGCGTTGCCGTGCTGCGCATGCGTGTTTACACCTTTTCACATTTTGATTTCGGTCTGCGCACATGTTTTCATGAACACACAGTATGTGGTGGACGCTACACTGACGTCACGCACGAACTCGGCCTAATCTCCGAATTTTGAATCATACACCTGCTGAATGTGCTGTGGTTGTGTGCCTACGCCCTTACTCCCTAAACCTAACCCCTAACCCTAAACCTAATGAAATTTAATGAACAGCTAATAATTAATTTAATACAAAAAATGTAATAAAAATTGTATATAAATCATTGTAAATATTTGCGTTAATTGGCGAAAAATAGTTAAATGGATAAAGATCGGATACAAGATCAGAACCAACCCGACTTCACACGTAACGCCGGACGGCGTACGATCTCGGCTATTCAGCCGTAATTTTAATAAAATTCATGGATGCTGCTCATGCATAGGCGCACTGGACTTGTCCAGTCGGCAGTGATGGTTATGGTGGTAAAAGCCACGTACGTCCACTGACGTACACGGACGTCACGAACCATACTTTGGTTTATTGGAAACATATGCCACCCTTTAGGTCAATGCTAATCCCCGGCGTGGAGGGGCAGTACCGCAGACGTGGCAGCACACCCGCGTGTTAGGATTTGGTTTAGGATCACGGGTTAGGGTAGGCAATATAAGGCGCATGCTCAGCACGGAAGTATGTGAATCTTCTGTGAGAGAATTTGGACTTGAAGTCGCGAAACTGAATTGTCCCTCCACGCCGTGTAATATAGCGACAGCGCGGCATCTTCAGTCCGCATCCCATAAATGTTAACATGGCCAACCGAAGCGTTACATACAAACATGGAAACTCGCCTCTATGGACGGTGGCCGCCCTGGCTGCGCTATAGAATAGTATACCTTCTCGCTGGCATCGCCTGATGTACGCTGCTGGAACTCCATACCGGCATCCACCTACGCTGTCGATGAAGCTGGCCAGTGAGAAGACATCGGTTGCGTCTGCTATGCTCGACGGCGTAGACGGATATCTCCGGCTAGTGCAATTCCTCGCGCTAAGAAATCTCTGCATGCGTCCAGCAGAACCGAGAGTTAGCGCAAAGATCAGCGCATCTCTCT